TGATCCTGATCTACAGGCCAAGAAGACATTACGGAGCTGTACCCACAACACAAAGGAACAGACCTAGAAGGAGTCAATAACTCTTTCACAGCATAAAGATGTACAAATATGTGATCTATATCTGTGCATGTGAAATCATGGCCCAAACTGACCCAAATAGTCATTGCACAAATATACAGCAAGATTTTTATTTAGCAGAAGCAAAATTTACAAATAAATTGATGATCCCCAGTTCTTAGCTTCAATACAGCAATCAACCCATTGAAGTTTATACCCTTAAATCGAGAAATTTCTTTACCATTTGTATTCCACGGTATTATTATTGTAAGTTTAAGACAGCTTTATTTCATTTCTTAAAATGGTTTACACATTATTACAGACTTTTTTGTTGCTTTAACCTCAGGAATATCTTATTTTACAATTATTTCAAATGCTTCATAGGATTGGTCTGCTCAGATATTTGCGTATTGAATGTCCTGCACCAAATATTTGTTTACACCAAATTTGGGTAAAGTTCAGAAGTGGAGCAAATGCAGCTGCACATTTTGTTCCACAGAGATCCAATAACAGCAGAAATGCTTTTACAGTGACTAGGTGTATCATATTTAGGTTGTAGATTCATGCAGATGTTTGCAGGTATCGTTACCTCTAAGTTAACTGTACATCTATTCCTATTGCTAGTGATACATTTACATTAATGTTTTGTTTCAACAAGTTAATACAATACAGCTGACTTTGCCATTTTATCAAAAATCAACACTTTTATCTACCATAAAAATATTCCAAGGTTCAAAAGAAAATGTCACTTTTGCATTTGTAAAATTTATTTAAATTTTCTTTTACACAGCAGCCTTTGCAATGTTAAATCTATTCATTGAACTTTGCATGTTTTGAATATGCTTTACTAAAATGTGTTAATCAAAAGTACGATTGGAAGTGTTTATGTACTATTCACAAGACAATTTTAACTCTCTTCCATTGGCCAGAAAGGAATGGCAGAGTATTTAAAATGGAGGAACTTTATTTCCCACTCATCGCAATCTTATCGCTGTTGGTTTTGGTGGCACACAAGACTCCAGATGGATTCTATCTGGAACCTTATTCGTGGATGCAAATCAAGGTCTCATAACATATGTGTGACTCTGATGGAATTTGGCTTCCTTGCTTAAGTGGGGCTTCAACTTTTAAGCGCAGGTGTAGCTGGTCCTCCAGATTAAATCTTGCTGCCATCAGTCTTGTCTCATTGCTGTTGTGTAGCCCTCAAATATGCTGATCTTCAACAGCCTCTAACTACCAGCTGTTGCTTTCCATTACAAACTGCTGAGCAGCTGACCCAGTCCCATGTGGGACTAACCTGCACCCAACTGACTTCCTTCCAGTTGTTAATGTCAATGATGTATTCCTTCACATTGGAAATGGTAAGCATTTAGATTGTTTGATGTCAAGTCAGCAATTTAAAGCATTGCCATTCCCTCTAGAAATTTGAAGAGATGTCCAAGATAAATGACATTGACATTGTGTTAATGTTAACACACAAAATGCAGATTAATCTGTTACAAAATATAGAAATTGCATGTATGGGCTGTGCAATGTAGAAAACTGGATAGATATACTTTAAATGTTACTGAACGATAAAATTCGGGAACTGTCCCGTCTTGATCCTTGGTCTGTGATGAGGGAACTGAACTGATCCAGTAGATCAGTTGGTGGCAAAATGCTACAGATGGCATTAATGTCTCTGGGCAATGAAAACTGGCGCAAGAGTTGTGCTGCCACCTCTGGAAAATGAACCCTGTCGATATTAGATGACATTAGAATCAGGTACAGATCTGCTGTTTCCCTACAATTAAATATCCTATCATAGAATCCCTGCAGTGTGAAAATAGGCTGTTGGGCCGAACAAGTCCAATCCAACTCTCTGAAGAGCATCCCATCCAGACTCACCCTCCTACCCTACCCCTGTAACACTGAGTTCTGAGGAAAGGTCACCGGACCCGATACATTAAGTCTGATTTCTTTTCTTCACAGATCCTGCCAGACCTGCTGAGCTTTTCCAGCAACTTCTATTTAGTTCCTGATTTACAGCATCTGCAGTTCTTTTGGTTTTTTTTTTACAGACAGCAAACTCCCCTACACTGCAATGTGATAATGACCAGATAATCCTTTTCTTTTTGTGATGGTGTTTAAGGGATCTCTATTGGCTAGGACTCCCAGGATTACCTCCCTGGTCTTCTTTGTGTTAGAGACATGGGAACTTTTAAAGCCACATGAATAGGCAGATGTCTCGTCAGAAAGAGAGCACGTCCTACAGTACAGCACTCCCTTAGCACTGCACTGGATTGTTAGCCTTGATGTTTGTGCTTAAAGCCTGCAGTACAACCTTGTGATTCAGAGGCAAGATTGACATCCACTGAGGCACAACTGACGCTTCTGCTTGAATAAGCTCTGTGGGACCGTACCCAATGATCCATTAGTAGTCCCTACATGGATAAATATAACAAAGAACCTGCTAACTTTTTTACATTTGTTGCACAGGTTCTTTCTCCTGGGGTCACAGTAATTTCCATCCATGACATTCAAAGTTACTCCTCCTCCCATCAACCCAACTTGCTGATTACCAGCGCATAACAAACCAGTCCATTCCCCGTCCTTCTGAAATCCACATCTGTATTAGAGCACACACAATTCATGGGTGGCACTTAAATGTGATCCACCTCCAAATTTAGCTCTAGTTCCAGGTTAGTGTGGACCAGAAGGTGGAACCATTACTATGCCACCTTATATCTGTTGGGAACACAAGGCAAAATTTTTGACTTACGTTTTCAAAATAGAAAAATGTGTTTCATTACAATTATGTTGGGACAATTGCTTCAGATACTTTAAGGCATTGTCAACAGTTTTCTGACAGTATCTAATTTTATACTAGCTCTGGGAGACATTCTTTGTTACCATTTTGAGTTTTACTGTGTCTCTTCACAGCTCTGAAAGATTTTGCACGTGCAGAAAGTTCTAGATATTTTTCTAAAAAGCCTGTTCAGAGATGGTATTAAACACTGCTGGAGCAGGTGAGACTTAAACCAAGGCCTCCTGGCTCAGAGGTAGGGATGCTATCACTTTGGCACAAGAACCATGCAGGAAGTTCCACCTTGTGAAACACCCTGCCAATAAAAGACATGACAATGCCCAAATATGAAAAGTGAAATCAAGCCAAAATACTCTTTAGTTTCAGCACTACTCATATTTCCAACAAGAACATCAACAAATTTCAACACTAAATGAAAGATTAACTCTCTTGAGAAAAATGGCGGTAATGACAATAAGAGAAAATGATAAAGATAAGTGAATGAGAGTCCAAAAGGATGCAAGTGATGAAAATAAAGTCAACAGCAAAATACTGGAAGTTCTGGAAATCTGAAACAGAAACAGAAAATTTTGGAAATAGTCTGCAAATCATACATAATAAGGTGGACAGAAGGAAACATCATCAACATTTCAGGTGAGCAGCTTCTTTACCTCATTCCTTCCTGTTATCTAGGGCTCCAGATTCTCTCCCAGGTAATGGGCGATTTACAAATATTTCTTTCAACTTAGTATACTGTGCATTCCCTGCAAATGATGCTGTCTCATTCCTATCAGGGAAGATGGAGAACAAACGGGGTGACCAATTTGTTAAAGACTCCATTTGATCCATTGGCATGGTCCTAAACTTCCTGCTTGCCATCAAGTTTATTCTCCAGACCATTTTCACTCTGCTCATTTTGCCTCATATACTGATATGTGTGGAGGTAAAGAAACTTAAAGAATAACACCTCTACTGCAATCAATTAGACTCAGCGTTGAGTTGAATTTCAGGTCATGACTACTGTACTCACTTGTTGCAGGCAGCATCTCCATTCAATCTCGTTCTACTAAGATGTGAATGAACATGAACCATTTTCTTTATCTCTCCACAAATCCCGCCTAACATGCTAAGTACTTCTAAATCATATAGATTGATATGAGATGAATTTTAGATGCACCACACAATTACACCCAGTAAAATCAAGATCAACTTCTTGACATTCAATTGCCAGCAATCAAAAAGGGGCTTACTTCTAATGTTTCAAGTTGAGATTGACTTTGGGCGATCAAATTCAAAAACAAAATACAGAAAAGATAATTTACTCACAAATATCATTCCAAAAATGAATGCAGATCTCAACAGTTGAGATCATTGACAAACACTAGCTGAACTACACCAAACAAGTGTTTTGATGCTTATACACTCAGAGCAATAGTGTGGCAGTAACAGTGATATACATAGACCCTGCATTGTGTGGGACATGTGTACCTGGACAAGTACAGTGGCAATCTAAATTTTGGAAAGTGCCAGTAAATTCATGTATGCAGTCAATAACATTATGCTGCACACATTTACCAACTAAATATCAGAACATTATCTGCCAATATATACTTGGAAGATCTGCGTATTCTTATTCAGACCATCATTAGTAGGCAGACATAAACCATGCTCCCTGAACCGTGGTATTGTAAAATCATGAATGAATTGGATATTTCAGAATTTCTTACTTATATTGGACGCAACATATGGGGGCTTAACCCCCATGGAGTTTCTCCCAATCTGCAGCCACAATGTCAGTGCTTTCAACCAAACCATCTCCAAAACTTACAGTAGCAAAGTAGAAGAATCCATGAGGAAATTTACGTCAAATCTAATTCCATTTTTTTAAAACTACCTTAGACCATAAGAAATAGGAACAGGAGTAGATTATTCAGCTCCTTGATCCTGCTCTGCCATTCAATAAGCTCATGGCTGATCTGTCATTCCTCAGGTCCACTTTCCCACCTTTTCCCCTCCCTACTGGTGAAGAATCTATCTATCTCAGCCTTAAACATACACAAAGATGCTACCTAGACTGCTCTCTGTAGCAAGGAGTTCCAAAGAGTCACAACCTTCTGAGAGAAGAAGTTCCTCCTCATTTCAGTCTTAAATTGGCACCCCTTTAATCTGAAACTGTCCTCTTGTCCTAGACTCGCCCATGAGGGAAATATTCTCTCAACATCCTGTCAAGTTCCTTAAGAATCCTATATGTTTCAGTGAGTTCACTCTCATTCTTCTAAACTCCAGTGAGCAGGCTCCCAACCTGTTTAGCCTTTACTCATAAGACAATCCCTCCATACCAGGGATCATCCTCATGAACCTTGTCTGAATTGCCTCCAATGAAACAATATCTTTCTTTGGTCTGTCCTTTCATGAATGAATGCAATCAGAACCAATTTTGTAATTATCAGTCCTGGCTCATAGGGAATGTCTATATTATGTGGATATGAAGAAAGTTAATAATTTATTCTTGAGACTGTCACTAATCGGTTATATCTAGACAGGTAAACTTTGAGGCTGGTTTCAAACAGATTTCACTGCACATGTGATATCATAATCATTATTTCCTCTTAACATTAAAGGCAGATAATGATGAAACATTATTTAGAACATATAAACAACCTAGAATGATTCTAAAGTTTACTAATTGAGAGATAAGTATAGAGTTAAGAATTATTGTCTGAATCACGAGTTAGGATTGGTAGCCAATATGCTTTCTTGACATCCAATGTCTGTTTTTTAATTTCATGGAGCAGAGTTTGCTCATACTAGCTTTGTTTCAGTTCCAGCAGCAGCTGTCTTGGTCTCCCATTCAGACCAGAGATTTAACCTACCTTGATTGCAAGCAAATGGATGAATAATTTGCAATTGATTATCACGGTGTTTAATGGCCAGTATTTACTATACAATCAAAAATTTATCTTAAGGTACTCATTATTGATGAGGAGAAATTTATGAAAAGATTCAAATGTACAGCTTTGCAAGGTAATCCTTACGTATAACATATTCACAAATGCTCATTCTCGACTCATTCTTACTCAATCAAAATTGTGATGTTTCTGTGACAGCTACCGAGTCCGTTTTGTCTACATCAAATGCTCCATTGATATATGTTTCCTTTATCTTGGTTTCCTCCTTCTCAGATGCAGCAGGTTCCAGAGCAAATGGATGCACTACATTGATGCCACTCGTGAGATCCATTTGCTGCAGTTCCCTACTGGACAGCTTCTCCACAATTCCAGCTCCAAAAGAGTCTCCAAGTACATTCACCATTGTCCGAAACCGATCCCTGAGGAAGGAGCCACAAGAGGTTATGGATCAGAAGCAAACAGAGTGAGTATCTTTGCAAAAATATTGACTCTTTCTGACCATTCAATCTGTAGAAATGTGACGATCTTGAACTAACGTGGACATCCATTTTTATATATTTTGGAGTAACCTACAGCACAACAATTTGAAACATAATTTACTCAATTTCTTTTCTTAACAATTTCTCAGTTAATTGCTCCAAATATTTTGACTTTGTGTTGCTTTCCTTTCAAGTTTAGCACCACTAGACACTGCAGTGTCTCCAACGCTCAATATTTAGTTAATAATAATGTGATCCAGAGATCATAAAATACTCTTGAGCATCTGCCACTGTAATCTTTCACATGCTACCATGTTAAATTTACCTCCCTTTCCAAAGAAACCCTGTCATGATGAGATACGAGCATAATTCAAAAAATTGGTTTAATTTAACACAAAGTCATAGATAAACAAAATACAGTTCTCTGTGAGATCAATAATAATATTCCACGGAAATTGAAAGAATGTAAACTTTATTAATGATCTGGTCAAAAGACAAACTTGATGTTAACTAGCCTTCACCTAACTAATATCCTGTTTTGAATGTAAACTCTAGAGGTTTGTGCACCTAATCTATGAGCCTGAGATAGAGAACAAGATACCCACTTAAGACTGACGTTTCTGGGAAGAGTTGGGGTGGTGTAGGGGTTAGTCAACTGAGCTAGCAATCAGCTACCTTTGATAAAAATGCTTCTTTTTCACCTGACGGCCTTAATGTTGAGCTACTTGCTATGAATGAACCAATGCTCGGTCATTCAAAACATCAGGCATATGGCCCTGCATGCTCACTTGTCTGCATGGGTGCAACTCCAACAACACTCAATATGCTTGACACCATCCAGGACAAAGTGGCCTGCTTGAATGGCACTACATCCATAAACATTTACTCCCTACACCAACGACACTCAGTGTATCCCATCTATAAGATGCGCTGCAGAAATTCACCAACGCTCCTTAGATAGCACTTTCTAAACCGACAAATACCTCCAATCTAGTAGGACAAGGGCAGCAAATACATGGGGACACCACCACATGCAAGTTCTACTCCAACCCACTCACCACCCTGACTTGGAAATATATCACCATTCCCTCGGTGTCGCTGGGCAAAATCCTGGAACTCCCTCCCCAATGGCATTGCCAGTGTGCCTACACCAAGTAGACTGAAGTGGTTGAGGAAGGCAGTTCACCACCACCTTCTGAAGGGAACTAGGGGTGGGCAATAAATGCTGGCCCAGCCAACACTACCCACATCCCATGAGTGAGTAACAATAAAAGAGAAAAACAAACTTATAAAATCTAACAAGTGATACCACACTGCCCATGAACTATTCCAAACATGTAGTCTGCAGTAAACTCCGTGAGAAGACCACCTCAATCCTAAAAGATATTTACAGAATATGAGCAGTCAATCATCTCTTAAATAGGCCCTCAAAACATAGCGAAGGAAAATATAATGTAAATAGGTAAAAGGAAGGAATTTGTACCCATTCAGCAGAAGCATAAGATGGAATAGATTGATTTCTGTTCAATTTGTGTTAATTGAATATTAATTGAATTTAATTGCGTTCAGGTAGGGGTAGTAACTGGGAAAGTCAATGACGTCTTTGAAAAGGAACACAGTCAAACTGATGTGATGGGGGTAAGGAATCTTTGTAAATAAAGGCTTATTTAGGTATGTAAAGTTTTGTTCCTGCAGTATTTTTCATGAGCTGAGTTCGAATAGGACTTTTACCTAATAACGTAGAAAATGAAAAGAGCACATTTATTTGATACAGTCGTTAAATTGGCTGATTATTGTATTGAGAGGACTGTGATGGCACTTTGGAGCTGGGTAGTGGATTGGAGGCATATTTGTTTGTTGTAAGTGGGGAAGACCCCACCTACATACAGTCAAGTGTAATTAATACAAAATTAACAAAGTGGTGTCAAAGGCTGTATTGTATAGCAGTCTTCAAGATTACATCATGCTTCCATATATTATGTAGTAGTAAGTACACATTTACCTCCAGTAATTATGCATGTGATAAAGTTAAGGTATGAACCTGCAATGCCAATTTTGAGTGACACATTTGTAAAGGACACAGCAAATTATAAATAATGGTGCAGAACCTGTCTAGGGAACAAAAACTTTCTTTTAAGCCCAGGGAGGTCATCCAGTCATAGAGTCATATACACAGAAACAAGCCCTTTGGTCCAACTCGTCCATGCCGACCAAGTTTCCCAAACTAAACTAGTCCCATGTGCCTGCATTTGGCCCATATCCCTCAAAACCTTTCCTATTCATGTATCTGTCCAACTGTCTTTTAGATGTTGTAACTGTACCTGCATCTACCACTTCCTCTGGCAGTTCGTTCCACATACAAACCACCCTCTGTGTGAAAAAGTTGTCTCTTTTAAAACTTTCTCTTCTCACATTAAAAAAATGCCCTCTAACGTCCTCCTGATGATCAAACTAGTAGAATCATGAACATTATAACACTCCTCTGCGACAACATTTATCAACTTAATTTAAGTAGCAAATATCATCCAGAAGTCATCTGTTGTCATGATTGGTTTCCCCAGAGCTATCCAGAAAGGTAAAAGTTTGATTGATATATGTGTTATAAAAACTTTGGGCATATTTCAAATAGACATGTTAACAACGTCCTATATGTATAATGAAATGGAAGTCCATTTATGTATGTTAGTTGAGAAAGTTTGCAAAGTACCCTGGGCATGGATTGCATGCTGATCCTTAAGAAAACCAACAACTTTGTAAAACTGAATGACCTGATTTTATTGTTGCTTTTCTGTGATGTCAAAGGTGATGAATTCCCTGGTTGCTGTGTGTCAGCATTTGCAAAAGACAAAACAAAAAAAACCTAAAGAAGTGCAGATGCTGGGAATCAGAAACAAAAACAGAAATTGCTGGAAAAAACTCAGCAGGTCTGG